CCCTCAGAGTCCTGTCTGCCAGCACTGCTTCTGGGGAGAAAGTTATGTCAGCAGCCTGCTGCCACCTTTTGAATTCTCCAGCAGAACATGTTGACCATCTGCCTGCCATCCGGTCCCATGAAGCAAAGACCTCTTCAGACTCTGTCAATTGAAGCTGGCCAAAAGATGTCCACCTGGTCACCTCACTGACACCACCATCATCTTCAGAATGGGAAAACACATTTTTGCACAAACCACAAAACCTTGTGCCAGCATCGCCCTTCAATGACCAGCCTACTACTGGTTTCTGCAAACAAGTGACCAAAAGCCCCAGCCAGTGCTCTTGTAGACGCAGAAGCGCCATACATCACCATCACTTGATGTCTGTCCACCATTTGCTGCCAGCAATGTAGGGGTTGGAGTCCATGTATGGAATCCTGAGTGACCACAGACAAAACTCTTGAAAGCATACTTGCAGCTATACATTTATTGGCGCAGGATCAAATCACTAAGGCCTGTATTGGCAAAGATCAAGTTCACTTGCCACCATGGCACTCAGTGGTCCAGCCACTTTCCCAGCAAAGCCAACGTTTTTGGTACCAATCACTGTATTCCACATGATCAATTCGATCATATGGTTGCATGGCCAACACTACTATTTCTTCCTACACTTCACTTGATCCAGCCACAATGCTGCAAAAGAAATAGATAAACATTAAAAATATTGAAAATGTTTATAATATATACAATTTATATCTAAATTTCATAAAACATATAAAATAAACTATTTTGCTGAGAAATTTTGCGTTACATTTATAAGGTAACCTTCGTGAATTGTAAATTTTGAACTCAGATTCAACTCAGAATCTGAATTCAAATTTTAGATTTTTAGATTGAATTCAGATTCTGAATCTTTTGGAGGAAGTCTCGTACGAAACGCTCGTCTTCTAGTGTGTGGGCAGACCGCGTGGCGCCACGATGCTTGTGATGTTGCAGTGCCATTGGGATTTGCGCGGCCTGGGTGGGAAGTGTGTTTGCGTGGCGCCGTGCCACTCAAAAGCGCAAAACATGCTGGCGTAAACGCGGCGTGTCGCTGGTGAGCGGGATGATTTGTGGCATCAAGATTGTCCCAAAAGAGTGACCTATACAAGAGTGTGCCACAAGAATGTCCGACAAGAGTGTCCCATAAGAGTGCCCCACAAGAGTGTCCTACAAGAGTCTCCCATAAGAGTGACCGACCCACAAGAGTGTCCCACAAGAGTGTCTCACAAGAGTGTCCCTTCAGAGTGTCCTACAAGAGTATCCCACAAGAGTTTCCTACAAGAGTCTCCCACAAGAGTGTCCTACAAGAGTGTCCCACAAGAGTGTCCCACAAGAGTGTCCTACAAGAGTGTCCCACAAGAGTGTCCCACAAGTTGTCACAAGTGTGTCCGACAAGAATGTCCGACAAGAGTCCCAAAAGAGTGACCCACAAGAGTGTCCTATGAGAGTGTCCCACAAGAGTGTCCCATCAGAGTGACCCACAAGAGTGTCCCACAAGAGTGTCCTACAAGAGTGCCCCACAAGAGTTTCCTACAAGAGTGTCACACAAGAGTGTCCCACGAGAGTGTCCCACAAGAGTGTCCTACAAGAGTGTCCTACAAGAGTGTCCTACAAGAGTGTCCCACAAGAGTG